CTATACTCCCCTCTAATGGGAAAGGGCCGAACTCGCCTTACGAAAAGGGAGTTCGCCTCCTTCCCACTGAAGGGTTCGCCCGCAGAGATAGTAATCATCCTCTAAGGGCAAATAGGGCAAACTTTGCCCCAAATCGGGGAAGCTACCAAGCATAATGATCAACGCTCATCTCCCTAAAATCCGACGCCTAGGACCTACAAGAGATCGTCCAACGAACCCATCGACGTACCTGGGCGCGACTCCAGGGCACCGACAGGCATCCCGGTGGAGAGACGGTCGGAGTAACGTCCGGGGCCTGCACCCCTCACCTTGCACCTCTTAGATTTCGGAGCCATTGCAGCAGGAAGTGGGAATTCTTTTCGTAGAAGTTCCTTTCGAGATTTGAGAGCACGGTAACTCCCAAGGGAGGAGAATGGCTGATTTAGAAGGGCAGAGTTATCCACGTGGCCACGACTACCCTCGAAAGGCGAAAACCCTAACGGGCAGGAGACGTGGCCACGATCAAATTCGACGGCCCAGATCACCCTCGGTATATCGAAAGAACCGAGATTGGGGGTTACATCTGACGGTTGAGTTCGAAAACCACGGCCACGGTGCGTCGTGGGGCGAAACACATGAAAATCATGTTGTCAAGTCACGATCGCCACGACCCGACGAGACCGCGCCGCCTTAGCTGGAAAGCACGAAGTTATATCGGCAGACACGTGGCTTATCTCCCGTCAGAACCGGTTCCGCCTCAAAAGGGAGGGATTCCGCCTACAAATACTTGGCCCGACCCCGCGAGTCGCGCGAAATTTTCCTCCCAAAGACTAATTTCACCTTGACGATTCATTCGCCCTCAAAGGTAAAATTACGAATGAAGCCCGTAGATTGACCTCGCTTAAATGGTTAAACCCACGCCTCAGACGGCTAAGGGTTAGAGCAGAAATCTTAGCATTAAGTCTAAGAGAAACTGTTCAGCAACTCATCATACTGAGGGGAATAGTATGGCTAGCCCGATTCAAACGGTAATCGGTAAAGGCACCTCAAACCCGTTGATAGCTGAGGGTTTGCTAAAAATCCTAAAAGGAATCGAAGGCACTTGCTACGCTAACAATTTCTTCATTCAAAGTATTCCAGACCACACGCAAGCCAGTTTAGGTCCGAAAACTTTGAAGGGCGTCTTGTAGACGGTAAAAAATACCTCTATGGGTTTACAAGAAATTCGCCTACGAGAAGAGCTCGCACGCTCAGTCCTCTAGCACGGGTCTAAACCGCGTAGACGTCGAGTATACTCGGTTCCAGGTTCGCCTAACGGTCAGTTCGCCAGCACGAGTTAAGATCGATCAGGATGACGAAAGTTCACCTTTCACTCAACTCGCCTGCCCGAGTTCAGAGTCGAATCCGCCAGCAAGCCCCAAGACCGTCAGTACAGCTGGGTATCCGCTACCCCACGTGCTGAGATGGGCCTTCCCATCCCTCTCTCTCAAGGGAGAGAGCACAATACCCTAAGACCGTCAAACGGCCGCTCGCAGCTCTCGACCCGAAGGGAGAGAGCACAGTACCCCAGGACCGTCAAACGGCCGCTCGCAGTACGCACAGCGCGAAGGACTGGACAGGTGTCGAGTCAACCTGAGCATTCATAAATGCGACTCACCTCAGCTGTCTGGGTCAAGAGCTGGATCCGCTGGCACTCGGTAAGTTGGTTAGACCCACTCGAGTACTGTGCACCTACTTCGCCGCCTCTCCTGACCGGAAAGGAGAAAGCACCGTGCCCAAAGCACGCCGGGCGGTCACGCACAGTACGAGTGATCGGACAGACGCCTCATCGATCCGCGAACTCATAAATGCATTTCATTAATGCTGGTCAAATCCGCTCGGATAGCAGACGGCCATTGCCTCATGGGCCTTCCCATTTTAGGTGACAGGACATAAAGCACAATCCCCCGAATGACCATTCATGGTACCGAGGAGCAGCTAGACGTCTCTGAAGAAGATATGGTCACATCCCATAATTCAAGGAGGAGTCAAGCTGCCCCTCTTTCATTTAAAAGCCCCTTCCAACACACTGGAGGAGAGGTCGCAAACTTAGAGAAAAGAGTTGAGACCAAGCTCTCTGCATAATCTTTGCATTGCAGCATCACTGTTTAGTTCCGAGCTCCGATCGCCAGCGAACTAAGCAGACCCGAACTCCCTCGAGTTGAGCTTCTACTACGAACTGAAGCTCTCCAGCAACCTCGATCGAACGGTCCAAGGGAAGCAAACTCGACACGAGCATCGAGCGAAGCGTCCTATAGCCACCTAAAGTCCCCACACAAAAACAAAGAGGGCATTCCCTCTGCTTCTGTTGTAACCATTTGATTATTAGTTTGTAATAAGCTTTCTTATAAATACAAACGAAACTCCCTTTTTCGGGAAATCAAATATTCACCCTACAGAGCGTGCAATGGTCATGTGGACAATTAATGACTTCCCAGCATATGCTAACTTGTCTGGATGGTCGACGAAGGGTCAGATTGCTTGTCTGGTTTGCATGTCAGATTATGAGGGAAAGTTCTTGAAATACAGCCGTAAGTTCTGTTATTGGCAACACAGAAGATGGTTGCCTACAGGGCACAAGTTCAGAAAGTTAGTAGGAAAGTTCGACGGCAATCTAGAAAACAGACCGGCACCACCAAGGCTGACCGGGGAAGAAATATTTGAGCTTCTACATCTTCTACCTAAAAAAATATTTGGAAAGAAAAGATTCAACAAAGAAAATCTATTTGGGGTTAGGAGAAAAAGATTGAAGCAAAATTGGAAGGGAAAGGGAAATGGTAAGCAATTTCTCAAAGGCAATTCGAAAGGAAATAAACCTCGCAATGTCCGATCGCATGGGCGTGTCTCTAAGGGTACTGAACTTCCGCATGGATGGTCAAAATTCAGCATATTTTATCAATTGCCATATTGGAGAAGTTTAAAAATACGTCACAACTTGGATGTCATGCACATCGAGAAGAACATATGCGAGAACCTCTTGAACACTTTGTTGCAGGACGGGAAAAAAATCAAAAGATGACTTAAGGGCACGTCGAGACCTA